AGGATAGCCAGGGCTACATTGAGAAACCAAAAAACTAAAAAACAAACAAACAAAAATGAAACAAAACAAAAAACAAACAACCACACACATGAAACACCCAGTGCCAGGAATGATTTTTTTCTAAATCACTGTCTGCGTTGGAGCTGCTGTCTCAAGTGTCTCCAAGCACCAATACACAGGTATCCATCCCAGTACTTCCACTTGGTGATGGCACCTCCAAACTGAAGGAAGTTTTGAAATGGTACAGTTGCAGAGAAAATGATTACAAGGCACAAAAAGGATTACAAAGGAGGCCAGGACCTGAGGTTGTACTTTTCCTGGCCATGCCTTTGCATGTCATTGATAGTCTGAGTTTGGTTTAAGCCTGGAGACTAAGTTGCAAAGAGAGCTACTGGATACTAGAGACCAGGGTAAATGCTACTGTGTGACATAGAAGTTTCTTAAGGGTTCTTTGATAATTGAAAAAAAAAAAAAACAACCAGTGAGGTAGGTAAGTAGTAACAATGGGGATGCCAGACCCTCCAAAAATAGTTCTGGAGCTGGACTCGTGTGTTGGTGGCAGAACACTTGGCTAGCAGGCACGAGATACTGAGTTTGGTTCACAGCACCACATAAAGAAGAACCATTTGAATTTGATGCTTTTTAGTGTCAGATTCTTGCACTTTTGGTTCCCAGGAGGCTAATGGTCAGCACCTGCTTTTCTGTGCTTCTGTGGGAGGGGGAGTGATATACTTGGTTGCCTTTGTTAACCAGCTATCTGTTCAGAGTGATAAACAGTAAATAAGGAAGGCCAGGTGAGTGAGTGGTTTTGGCAAATAAATAAATAAACAAACCAAATATTCATTTCAGAAGAGGTACCAGTTGAGGCCGAATTAAAAAATGAGGGTCAGCAAGATGGCTGAGTGGGTAAATGCTCTTGCCAGCAAGCCTGACGGCCTATGTTCCATCCACAGAATTCACAAGGTAGAAGGAGGGAGCCAACTCTCTGGCAAATGGTCCTCTGGCCTCCACACATGTGCTTCGGCATACTTCCTCCAAGTAAATGAATAAATGTAATAAGAAAAAAATGAATCAATGGGTGGGGGAAAACCCAGTGTGTACTAAATCAATTTGTGGGAAAAAGTATGGATTTTTCATTAATTTGTTGGAAAAAAAAAACAGTAGCTAAAGCACGGATTTCATGTGGAAACATGGTATAAAAAGTTGTCAGATTGGGACACAAGGCTATATTTAAAATGGGTTTACTAGGTCATTACATAGGGGTAATGCAGAAACTTAAGCCATGGAATCTAATTAGAAAACAACAGTCTTTGTCTACATATGGAACAGTAATATTCCAATCCCATGTATTAAAGAAATGATAGCTATTGGTGAATAAATGACTAGTGAGAACTGATGAGGAAAGGGGGTTATCAAATGTGACAGGGATTTTTAGAAGTGACACTGGAGTATTTTGAAGTCTGAGTCACTAAGGGTATGGTGGTAGTATTATCGTAAAGTAGGACAGTCAGGTTGCAGTAGAACTTTCTTCAGATAAGACAAGAAAATTTCACTTTAGACATCTCTAAATGGGTGAGTCTAGCAGTGTTAGAGATGCAGTTCAGGAACTCTGAAGCTAAGGCACTGCTGTCCAAAATTCAGATGCCAGCCTTCTGCCGTCTATGGTCACTGCCAGAGACCCCATTTCCTATCTTGGCTTCAACTATGATCAGAATAGGGAACTTACATGAAATCCAAGGAAGGGGAAACAATAACAAAAGGATGTGCTTACTGCTGTTTAAGAAACTAAGAATACTGAAGCTCAGCGTCATAGGATTTGGTGTTCAAGGGAGAACTATCATTGTCAAGATGTGTTGTGTCAGCTGGAGATACGTTGGATGGGTGGATGGGGAAACAGGCTGCAGGGAATTTAGAGTCAGAGGTAGTGACTGTGCACCATTAGCAACAAAAGAAGACAATAAAGGGATAGCTAGAAAGGTGCATAGAAGAACCCCAAACTTGGATCATTTTTCTACTGGAACTGCTTTCTCAAAGGTCACCATTTACTGCCTGAGTAACTAAAATATTTGCTATCATTGGATCTCTTTGTGATGCAAGCTTGACATAGCTGATTCCATATCCTTTCCACATTTCTAAATTTCCATCTGCAGCTTTTGTAATGTTCTTGATAGACAATCTTCTTCTACACTGACTACGATTTCTCTCTCGCATTTGCTGTATCTTGTTCTCCTACTCATATATAACAGTGTTTTCTAAAGCATTGACCTTGTCTTTCTTTAGAGAACGCTTTCATTTAAGCCGGGTGTTCAAAAAACTTCCTCTCTCTCTTTCAACTGTCTACCCAGCAACCTTCCAGGTCAGTTTTGTTTTGTTTTTCTTATGTATGTGTGTGTGTGTATACATCCACACAAGTGCCTGCTCACACATGTAGTTGTGTCTGTGTGTCCTTATCCTATGTAGTGCCAGGGATTGAACTCAGCTTGAGCCATCTCTTTGGCTCCTGGTTTACTTTTTATTTCGTTTTCCTCCCTCCCTCCCTCCCTCCCTCCCTCCCTCCCTCCCTCCCTCCCTCCNCATCTCTCCCTCTGTCCCTCCCTCCTCCTTCCTTCCTCTTTCTTTCTTTCTTTCTTTCTTTCTTTCTTTCTTTCTTTCTTTCTTTCTTTCTTCCTTCCTTCCTTCCTTCCTTCCTTCCTTCCTTCCTTCCTTCCTTCCTTTCTTCCTTCCTTTCTTCCTTTCTTCCTTTCTTCCAAGGCAGGGTTTCTCTGCGTAGTTCTAGCTGTCCTGGAACTAGCTCTTGTAGAGAGAGACAGGCCTTGAACTCACAGAGATCTGTCTGCCTCTGCCCCTGAGTGCTAGGATTCCTTTGCCCCTGAGTGCTAGGATTAAAGGCATGTTCCACCACTGCCCGGCCCTAGTTTACTTTTTAAACTTTGTCTATCTGAAAAGGTTTTTAAGAGTCCTCATTGGTATTCAGATTAGGTTCTTTCAGACATTAGTTTCTTGACCCCTTTGCACATCAAATCTGCACTCAGTCTTATTATCTCCTTTGAGACATCTCTGGAATGCATCCTTTAATTATGATGCTGGGAATCAAACCCAGGAGAGCCTTCTACACACCTGCATTCACTCTGCTTTTGAACCTCACCTCTAGTCCCTCTGAGGTCCATCCTTACTCTACATTTTGTTTTGTTTTGTTTTTGTTTTTCAAGACAGGGTTTCTCTATGTTAAAGTCCTAGCTGCCCTGGAACTACCTCTTGTAGACCAGGCTGGCCTTGAACTCACAGAGATCTGCCTACCTCTGACATCTGAGTGCTGGTTGGCCTACACCACCATTGCCCAGCAGTATGGTAGTTTTTTTTTTTTTTTTAAAAAAAGCAGAGGTGAAATATACATTTGTAGAGTCTGCCAAAATTGCTGATCAACTTAAAAATGCACTGGGGCTACAGTTGACAGAGTAGTTGTCTAGCAGGCGTGAGGCCCTGGGTTCCATCCCCAGACTTCGTGCACCAGACATGTTGGCACTTGCCTGTAAGTCCACCATTCTGTGAGTTTGAGGCCAGCCTGTTCTACAAGAATGCCTCCCGAGTGCTGGGATTAAAGGTGCCACTACTGCCCAGCTCTTACTCTACTTTTATTTGCTCCCAGAATCAAATGTTTCTACCTCACATTATTGCAACTGTTTCCTGGAAACTCTCCCCAGCTCAGGCTTTCCTTCTTCTAACACATATTTTATTTTCTAAAGAGAATAACCTACTTAGTGCTCTGAAATACCGTTTACAGTGTCGCTCCCCCATGAAAAACCACAATAACAGCTAAACTCTTCCGTGTGTCCAGGAAAGCATGGACAGAGATAATCATAAACTGAAGTCATATTTGACACCACCTACACTAACTTTCTATCTGATAAAGGAATTACTGTTCAGCATTCTTGCTGACTCTCCTTAGAAGGACCCCTACGTCACCGGGCCTTTCCTAATTCGCTCTTTATTCAATTCTCTTCTCTACTACTCCACCCATATTCCATCCCTTCAAGTCAGTGTAATTTCCTCTTAGTTCCTTAGAGCAGTGAATTTGGTTTGCCCTTAACATCTTTGGCCATCTGCTTTGGCAAATGTCTGCTTATCACCTCTCCCAGTTCACAGCAGTCTGCTCATCATTCAGCCCCTGTCCTGAATGTCATCTTTCATGCATGACCACTTTCCTGAAGTCTCCATCTTAAACTCCTGCTTCATTTATAGCTACCGTACAGTTTCCCATTTATTTGCTCTGTGTGTGTTAATTTTATTCTCGCTTCATGCCCACCAGAATGCAAGCTCATGGGGGGGGGGCAGAACCCTGTAGTAGCCCTTGTATTTCCCATAGGCTCACCCTGCACAGGAATAGGCAAAGAGCAGGGACTCAATCCATGCTGAATGACTCATAATAGGTGAGCAACCTTCAGGCCAGGGAGGTGAAACCACACAGCAAGTCAGTAACCAAGTTTGTAATTAGAAATTATAGTACACCTGCTGGGTGTGGAGGTGCACCCCTGGAACCTCAACACCAAAGAGACTGAGGCAGAAGGATCTTGAGTTCAGAGCTGTCCAGGGATACCTAGTGAGACTCTGTCTCAAGAAAGAAATGAACGAAACAAGAGGGCTTGGGCTCAGTGCCACAGTGGATGCATAAAAACAAAACAAAAGGACAAACGAAACCAAAATAAAAACAACCACAACAAAAACCATAACTCGAGACAGAGTTTCTCTGTAGCGTTGGAGCCTGCCCTGGAACTCACTTTGTAGACCAAGCTGACCTTGAACTCAGAGATCTGCCTGTCTCTGCCACCCAAGTGCTGGGACTAAAGGCGTGCGCCGCCACCGCCTGCCTAAAACCACAACTCTTGATTCTCTGAGCTGCAATTGGAACACATGAGCTAAGCCTGGCTGGGAATGTTTCTGGGAAGATCCAGGTCTTAGTCCAGGAAACATCCTCCTTGAGCTTGAGAAGCAAGGAGAATTACCTCGGTAGTCCAGGGTCCTGGCGGCTGGGACCTCTTCTGCATATACTTCATTGTAACTTTCCTCTGGAGAGTAGCCCGATCCTAGGATGAGGAACAAAATACAAAAGTGTATTCATTTCTCACTCAGCTATTTCCCAGTACCCTAACCCCTGTCTTTTTCTGGGGACCCGGCACTTCAGAATAGGGCTGCCAAGTGCTTTGTAAAACTGCAGAACCTGCTGTGGGTGAGCTTGATCATATGAGGTCCACAGAGAGCAACCCCAGAGAGGGGAGAGGTGGTGGGGGTGGGCTCTGGTTGTATTAGATGACTTTCAAAACAGAAAAACTGGACTTCTTAACCACATATCAATCCTGCCAATCTAGACAATAAACAACCCAGTCCCTTGATAAAGCTCACTAGTCTTCCTGAGACACCGATAGCCACGCTCTGGGGCTAGACTGTTGTCCTAGCTCTGAGGAAATAATAACACCTAAATGTCTTCTCCAGTGACAGACAGTATGCAGTTCTCCAAGGGAAACAGCGTTTCAAGCTCGTTCACTAGCCTACAGGGCATATGAACCACCTGACTGTTATTGCTCTGTGGCCTGCCAAGGCAGAGATGGATGGCTTAATGAGCAAAAGGGAAGGGGAATTCTTTCATAAGCACTTTATTGCAGCTTGGAGTAAAAAGATAAGTCAGAGGAAGTCTCTCTCTCTCTCTCTCTCTCTCTCTCTCTCTCTCTCTCTCTCTCTCTCTCTCTGTTCCAGATTGAACTTAGGGCCTCACACATGTAGTGCCATGGCTCTATGGCACGGCCCTCACAGTAAGCTCCCCCTCCAATGGCAGAGTCCTTGAGGTAATTTCCTCTTCTTCCGGTAGGAGCAGGTTTAGCAGTGAGCTGCTGAACTACTTCCGTGCAGTTGAGTGGCACAGTTCCTGGTGGTGGCAGGTCTGCCGCTGTCACGGAGACTAAACAGTATGTTCCCCCAGACGCAGGAAATCAGTCACGAATGTGAACTAATTGGAAAACAATTTAGTTCTTTCCATTGCAAAGTTTCCGGAAGGCCTTCTCTAAATCCCTGAGCTCTAATGCATGTTCAGGAAAAGGGCAGGCAGCCCGGTTGGAGTCTGAAGACAATTCTCCATTTCCAGGAGAGGGTGTATTTTCCAAGAGTAGGCAGGGCTTTAGAGCTGGAGCCCTTTGACCTGTGTAAACACACCAAACGAGCTTGTGGGCTTTTCTTGGGCAGAACACAGGACCTCCTGCACTAAAGGGTGGAGCAGAGGGCAAGATGATGAAGCTCCTTGACTCCTCAGGGCCCAGGCTAGGAATGTGTGTGTGTGTGTGTGTGTGTGTGTGTGTGTGTGTGTGTGTTGGGGGTGGGTGTGGATGTCAGTCCAACTTGGTAAACATGGGGATGAATCAAATTGCAAGTTTGTCTTATGAAATCATATCCTCATTGGTTTACCCTCATTCCAAAGGAAAGGGTTCACTTTTTTTTCTTCAGTTTGATGCTTTTCACATTTCCCCACTGACTTTCCTTTGTTTCTCCGCGGGTCCCTCTTCTTTCCTTTCCCACATGGGAGGTTTGTTTGTGCAGCATGGACTCTTTGTCAGCTGTTTCCGTTTAGTGTTAGCCTCAATCCCTCACAGCTCCTGGAAGCAGAAGGCCAGCTGTGCTTGGTTCCCTAAAGCATACAGTCTCCCCATTCTCACTGCAGAGCTAGCCTGTGAGGAAACGCTCCTTAGGGAACAGTTGTTCGCCAGAAGCTGAAGCAGGGTGTCATAGGCCTATGTCTGGATAGAGTAATGACAACGACAATTTAGCCCTTACTCTGTAGAGCATATGCTAGCTCATTATGTTGCCATAATGTCTCAACTGGGTACACATCATTAACGCTCTCCTACGTGTAGACACAGGCTGACTCGGGAATAAAGGGAGTGGCCCACGGCCTCTGAGATAGTACATTGCAGAGTAGACCTCACAGCCCAGGCCTGTTTGAACCCCATGGACTACACTCAGATACTAAACTTTAAATGGTGGTAGAGAAGGTGTTATGACTATGTCCAGAAGGGATAGAGAACCAAAGTCTGTCTTGCAATCTAGTATTTTTTTTTTTTACTGTGGCAATGGGGTGGGGTGGGGGAAACCATAGACTACCATGCATTTTATACTGTTCCAGAATTACAGGGGATGTGGGAGAGCTGAGGGGAAGACTCAATCACATAATTATAGTTTCCACCAGTGTGTGGAGGTAGCTAAGCCAGTGCTAGGTTCCCTTTGTACCAGGAATGAGCTTGGCCTAGCTAACCGCTTCAACTTTCCCCTGTCTCCTAGTTGCCTACTTGTGAATATTTTATGCACATGTTAGGATACTGAAGTGGCTATAAGAATGAAGCTAGACAGAAGGACACTGCCCCTGCATCATTCCATTTGCTTGAACATCTCTTGGTTCCTTTGCATTGGTCAGTGGTTGCTTACTGTGTGGTTGGTTACTGGGTTTCTTCAAATTCCATAGTCAAGTGGGATGCTCTACATCCAGCCCTTCATGATTGTATGGTTGGAAAGGTATTTCATAATTGAAGATGTTAAGAGCCACATTAATGCCTGGCCTCTGATGACAAATACAGCAGGACTCCCTGATATATATATATATATATATATATATATATATATAGAGAGAGAGAGAGAGAGAGAGAGAGAGACTGCAGTATACATCTTTAACACACTCAGCTTCATGCTTCATGTATAGTCTCTAACATTTCCAGCTTTCTGTTGATTATTCCTGGATGCATTTTCTAACTTGCCCCGAGTCTACACTTGGTGGCTTTCTTTGTGCCATTCCCATTCGAGAACAAAGCCAAACAAGAGAACAAAACTGTCCTTGTGAGTTAAAGGCAAAGTTCATCATGTATTTGCTGAATCAATGAATGAATGAATGAATGAATGAATGGGCAAATGGACACAAACCCAGTGGTTAAGCCAGCACTGAAGGGAAGAATCTTTAAATCTCCAAGTATCTACCATCATGCAGCCCTTTCTAAGAAGGCTTACAGGGCTGCCAGAGACTTAGCAGCCTGGGTTCCTTCCAAGCAGTGTTGACTGTGGTGATTCGTGGAGAAGTGGGGAGTGTCTGATTTGCAAACAGCCCCCTGAGAACCTCAAATGAAGTTGAGTGTTTTTAATACCTTGTCTGAAAACCTCTAGCATCTCGGGATTTAATGAGTTTCATACAGGGGTTCAGAATTGGAGTTTCAACCATCGGATCTCCACTCCCTTAGTGCGGTGGTCTTTTGGATAGATTTTGGTCTTCTAGACTTGAAGTCAGCCGGCCATTTGGAGAGAACAGCTGCATGTTTATCTCCCAAAGACTTGGGACTCTCTTAACCCCAAACAGTGTGTGCTCTGCCAAGGGCTTGATTTGAATTTCTTCAGCTGAATGTCCGCCCTTGTGCTTTACCCCCTATGAAGCCAGGTTAAGCCAAAGCGGGGAAGAAGCTTGCATACTTGTTTGAAAGCTGGATGCAGCTGTTGCAGACAAACAGAGCTGCTGCCAAAGGCCTCTACCAGGAGCTGGGGGTATGTGGAAAATTTTAGCTGCGACGGCGGTGGCTATGATGGTTGCAGTTTGTTATTTACTCATCTCTGGATATTTTCCTAACCCCACTGGCTGGGACTGTCTCATTCCCCTAGCTCACTCCAGCCCCTGGGAGGGCAGACATTGCAGGCCACAGAATATTCTTAGCACTTGAAATGGCAATGGAACCCAATCAAAAACCTCTGTATGGTGGTTCAGTATCCTTTCCCTGTCCCCCTTGCATGCTCCCCCACCCCACTCCTCAGAGCATTCTTGTTGGCTCGCTATGTCTCCCAAGGGTGCAGAGTGAAATAGTCGAGGACTCCAGAAAGCTGCTTCCTTTCTGAAATAAGGAAAAAAAATCCCAAAGAGCCTGGGGTATTCCTAATTAAGAGAATGTGGTCTGTACTGTCATTGACTGTGTTAGCCAAAAAAGGCTATACAAATCCTATAGGTAAACTCTGGGAGGAAGAAAGAAAAAAAGGGGGGTTGTCTTGTGGGTTCTCCCCTGTTAGTAGACTGCTTGTCTCCCCCTTTTTCTTTCTGAAAGAGATACGTGGTCTGAGTCTTGTTTTATAGTCTTGACAAGGATATTTGACTCAGGGAAGAATTAATATTAATAAATATTTGGCTTATTAAAAGCATCTTAGAAGTCATCAGCGGGCTGTGGATGGAGTTCAGTGGTAGAGAACATGCCTAGCATTTGTGAGACTCTACGTTCAACCCCGTGCATAGAAAGCAAGACATATAACAAAACAAGCAAACACACAGCCAAACCTAAAAACCCCACTGTTGTCATGAAGGTAAGTGAAAATGACACCTGAAAAGAAGGAAACAGGAAGCATCGCCTCAAAGGTCACCCTGTCCCACTCTTCCACTTTAGTTAGTGTAGCCCTAATGGGTGGGGTACCTCTTGCTGGGGTGCCTCATGGGCTGTGGTTGGTAGCCCTTTTTAATCTTTGGTCATCTTTATTGCCACCCAACAGCTTTTCTCTGCATCTAGTAGTCCCATTCTTCCTTCTTCTATGTCTTGGAATAACAGTTCTTGACCTCCCTAGAAGGAAGGGACAACAGCTCCCAGGACTCACCTGCGTACCATGTTGGGGTCACTGCTGGCGTTAGGAAGAGCAGCAGGGGGAGAGCACCTCCTTGAGTCAGTTGACCAGCCATCCTTAACAGGGAAGCTTCAGAAGAGGGGGGGCTAGGTGGCTCGAAGAATCGGGGTAAGGGAAAATGACTCTCAGAACCGAGTCAGCTATGAACTTGCAAAAGTGAGAATAAGCAGATAGATGGGATCTGTGGGGAGGAAAATTTTAACATTAATCAATTCCAGTTTTATAATCTGCCTCAGAAACCTTTCCTGCTTCATAGGATAATAAGACTTATTTGAATTTATGGTCCCTTTTCTCCAGGCAGGAAGAGGAAGGCATTAAGCAACTAATCCTCAACTTACTCTGGTGCCATCAAGTGTGACAATTGCATGATCCAAGTCACAGGGAGGGACACTGGAGTTCTGAGAGCAGGGGCATGCTAACATAAAGTCACATAGAACTGGGGGAGGGGGGGAGTCTGGAAATCCAAAGGCCGACAGTTATGGATTTTGTCTACTCATTGTTTCTTAACCACAAAGCTGGGGAGGCATCCATGTATAGAGTCCAAGACCTTGAGCTCTAGAATGAGGCAGATCTGGATATGAATCCAGTTCTGTCACCAACTAGCAAATGAGGAAACCTCTCTAAGCCTCTGTCTTTTCACACATAAACCAGGAGCAATAGTAACTAGCTCATGAGATATATTCTTGCCACGTTATTATTGCTAACTTCACATTAGACTAGGCAGGGCGTTTCTTTTCTCTAGCCTCCAGGCAGTAGCTATAATTCTGCTCTCTTCTTAGCTTTGGGTTTTGAGGCTTAGTGGTTGGACAGTCACTTCTGGCTTTTAAGTCTAGCCTCCCCCTCCAGTTTTGCCTTGCTGAACTAGCAGAAAGGCAGAGAGGTCGAAGAGGACCTAATGAGGCCCACAAGGACAGTATGCCCAAGCTCCTATTGCTGTCTCTTTTTCCTTTCTGGGGAAATCTTCACACTAATGAGAGGAGATAAGAGAATCTGTGGTGCTACTGGACAAACACTCCCCAAGTAGCAGTAGTAGAACTTGCTGCCCATCGATACAGAAACCAGTCGCTGGGCCTTTCAAGAGCATCAGTTCACCCACGTGCCTTCCACGCAGTGCCATGCTCAGAGGAGAAACAATTCTCAGAAATGGAGGAGCAAAAAACAACAGAAGATTCTGGGCAGGGTCCTTAAAGGGCCATCTGATAAAGCCAAAACTTCATTTACCAAGTCATCACTCCTTGACATCATATCTACAGTGGCTATGAAATAGGAGAGAGGGAAAAGTGGGAATAAGGTAGGGGGTAAAGAAAGTAGACCGTGTGCTAAGGATGCTGTCAAGAAAAGAATGTCTAAAGGAGATAAAGGGAATAGATGGATTCAATCACCAAGAGGGAACTAAAAAAGAGTGGAAAAAAAAAAAAGAGCCAGGGAAATGAGCTAATCACTGACCTGTCTCATAATCAGCCCCCAGACAGTTCCTTTGCAGTGGAATAAAGGTTTTCCTGTGTCAGCCCCCAGACTCTTAGAGCCCATGACCTGTCCACCTCCTCCCCAGTCTCAGACTGAAAGATTGGACTCACCGGAGGGAGCCATCCTTCTGCTGGAAGCCGAGAAGAGAGCAGGAACATGCATCTGCAGCCAGCACAAATGTAAACAGCGTATGATCCAATTTCATTAAAAACCGTTCTCCCCCTCCACGGCCAGGCCCAGCATCTGAGTCCCGGGTCTGCTGACCTCTCCACTGCTGTGAAATGGGGCACTATGCTGTGAGGGATTAAGTACAGTACTTACCTGTTTTTTATTTTATTTTTTTGCGGTCTCGTTCTCTCTCCTCTTTCTCTTTGCTCTCTGCTCCTCTCATCAGTCGTGGGGGGAAAGACCTTCTATTTTAACATTCCTAGAACCAGTGGCTCCTGGTCTGTCAGGGCCTCTGGGATTCTGGTAACACTGCCCAGATGTTGGGACGTTTGCATCTGCCAAAAGTTGTCTTAAAGCTATATTATCCACAAAGCTATAGCTGTTACTCCTCAAGAAGAGAGTTTTAGGCGGGGGAGGAGAAACAGGAGGATTAGAGGAGCTGGGGCTGTCTGCCGCAGAACAGGGCAAGTGTGAGGGACACTGGCCCCAAGCTCTGAGTGTAGTGATGACTAACAAAGGACTTCCAGAGATGTGTCCAGGAGGAACACTACATTTTATGACTCAGCATGACGTCAGGGTTGAATGAAAAGGAATCTCACCAGCTTCAGAGAGCGGGGGCATGTAGCTGACTTTGGCTTTCCCTAGGAAATTATCCCTGAAGTTCTTTAGTTCTCCCAAATTCCCAGTTACGTTTTCACAGGCATGATATACAGGGCTAGACCACTTTGAAACTTTTCCATCAATGACTTGACTTCTTTTTGTGGTTGTTCTTTTGGAATTTTTTTTTTCATACAATGCATCATGATCATGTTTTCCCCTCCCCCAGTTCCTCGCAGATTCTCCCCACCTGCCTACCCATCCAATTTTATGTTCTTTTTCTTTCTCTTTAAAAGAAAAAAAAAAAAACCTTCTCTGGCCATAAGTTTATGAAAAGATTATGTTTACAAAAAATATCATGCATTTTGTTTGTGTGTGTGTGTGTGTGTGTGTGTGTGTGTGTGTGTGTGTGTGTAGTTTTAGGGAATCAAATCTAGGACTTTTCTTATTTTTTGAGATAGGGTTTCTTTGTGTAACAATCCTAGCTGTCCTAGAACTTGTTTTGTAGACTAGGCTGGCGTTGAACTCACAGATCCACCTGACTCAGCCTCCCAAGTGCTGGGATTAACTGTGTGCACCACAACCGACCAGCAAACCTGGGGCTTTTCACATGCCACGTGAGCATTCTACAACTGAAGTATACCCTTCCCTTACCAACACTTGCCTGAAGAACCAAGATTAATTTACCATACTATGAATGGAAGGAAAGTATGCTTAGTGAGGCTTTTCTGGAAGGCTCTTTAAGTCAACCTAAATAATCTATGCATGGCATGGTGATACCCATTGCTAAACCGTTTTTCAGTGGTCTCAGATGGAAGGCTATTTTTTTTCTTCACTAAGCAAGCTTTCTTCATCTCATTGTCAGGTAATGACATTATTTTTACATAGTGTAGACCACCTTACACCCTTTATCTAATCACAGTTAACATTTCTATCTCTTGAAAATTCTGTTTAGATGGATCTGGTGGTATAGACCTAAAATTCCAGCACTTGGGAGACTGAAGCAGAGGAACGGTAAATTCCAGATTAGCCTAAACTGCAGAATGAGTCCCAGGATATCCTGGGATATCAGAAAGAAACCAGCAGTTTCTGTGAGACGCTGTCTTTTGGATGTGACATTGCTATTGTACTCATGAATTCACAGCAGCAGTGGCTGCAAGCACAAGACCTACATCCCATCAAGGGAGGGAAGGGAATTGTCAGATACCCCCACCCCCAAAGAGAGTTCATGGCTCCTGGGGAGGAAAGTCATATTCTCCAATGGTGCAGCCCCTCGTGAGCTGCCTCATTCATCAGTATCCCCACTCTTGCTCATTTCGGCAACCCTAATTCAACGCACAAAAAAGACATGAAAGTAGAGTAGGGACTTGTTGGGAACAAAAAGGAATTTGGTGTCATTTGGTGCCTGGTGAGGTGCTAAGAGAGGGTTATATGATCAAAGCGCATCCCTTTCTTTTAAACAATAACAACAACAACAACAACAACAACAACTCAGTTTTCCTTTTGGAGAATTTGCATTAATTTCCACGCCTCCTCTCTCTCTTTTGAAAGCCTTCTACCTCCTCATAGTTCCCTCTAAAATGCGTAACCTCTTATTCAGTCCCAAGTGTGCAGCCCCAAATATGTGCATGTAAGAACACCACTGAATGGGTTCTGTAGGATTTATGTAAGTAGTTCATGTGTGTAACAAAATAAATTTTTATGTCTGTATAAAATTGTGAAATAATCAGTATTCTTTTTTGATTTATTTTCGAAACAGGGTTATTCTGTATAGTCCTGGCTGTCCTGGACTTCACTCCGTAGCCCAGGCTGGCCTCAAACTCAGAGCCCGGCCTGCCTCTGCCTCCAAAGTGATGGTACTAAAGGCATGCACCACCACAGTTGACTAAAAATTAGTATTCTTTCACCAAGGAAAAAATCAGTAGTTGTAGATGAAAAAATTGCTCTGTGTGTATAAGTGCATTTATAACATCTTGATTATCAAGGGAAGAATGGGTCCATAATTTTACAAAGTTCAATAGTAAGCCTGAAATCTATTTTATTTCCAAACTACCAGTTAGATATGTGTATTGGATATCTACCATGGGTTCAAAGTGTGGCACTATATAAAAAAAGTAAAAGAGCTGATTGTGCCTTATTATTTAATAAAATTTTCAAGTATCTAAAGTGAAAGGGTGGTGGGCAGAATGGTGGATAAAGCACATAAAATCCCTGATATCTTGATATTCATTTTTAATTAGTTCAAAAATATATATTGAACATCTACTGTGTACCTTATATTGCTTTAGACACTTGAAAAGCTTCAGTGAAAAAAAGTAGGAAAAAAATCACAACAAACAAAAATGTGCTTATGACCACTGAATGTGTTCGGGAAATCTTGGTTGCTCAGATCAAATAAGGTTAGCATCAGTGACACAGTGTTGAGCAAGGAATGTGGTTCCTTTGGCCATATAGATCTTGCATCCAGTTCCCAGACAATTTATGTGAGCATAGGAGAGAAGGATGGCCCAGACAACTGGAAAACAATACACCAGTAGCAATAAAATACGAAAAGTTATAGTGCAGTCTCTATGGACTCTAGGAGGAGGCCAGAGGAAGGGGGTGGGGTGGAAGAATTAGGCATCTCTATTCTCAGGTAAAAGAAATAACATAAACTGAGCTTTCACCGATAGGTTGTGGGGACTGGTTGGTGAGATGGTTCAGGCGAGTCACAGTAAACAAAGTTAAATAAATAAACAAGGGTCAGAATATCCTAAGTCATGAGTAGGAAAAGTGAATATATGAATTCTCTCTCTCTCTCTCTCTCTCTCTCTCTCTCTCTCTCTCTCTCTCTCCTCCCCCGCTCTCCCCCCCCCCGTCATGGGTGGGAAAAGGCAAAATAAATTTTTGCCAGGTTGTTGACTTTCCTAAAATAACTCCTTCACTGGCACCGGCTCTGGCTCTGACTTGGCCTTGGCCTAGGGAACAGTCATTCCTCGACATGGCAGGACACATCATACCATGGCACATCATACTGTTCCTTTACAAGCAAGCCCACATCTGTCTTCAGCCTAGACTGGGGCATTTCATCCACATCTGTCTTCAGCCTAGACTGAGGCATTTCATCCACATCTGTCTTCAGCCTAGAGTGGGGCATTTCATCCACATCTGTCTTCAGCCTAGAGTGGGACATTCATCTCATTACTCTTTGCTCCCAGCACACTGGGATTTGAGTCCTTTCTTTGACACCTTTGTGAACTTGTACAGACAGAATGCCTTCACAAATCCCTCCCTCTTTTCTTGGCCAGCTGAAAGCCTCATCTCCTGAGAGGCCCCAGCTCAATCAGTCAGAGGGAGTTTCCTTCCCTTCTTTTGCCTTCCACAGCAGTTTGCATGCATCTTAATTACTGCATACACATCACCCCTATTGCCATTGTTCTTGACTTCTGACTGACCCCTAATAGACTGTGAGGGCCTAGTGTGCCAGGTTCTTAGCTCTACTCTTTATGTTTCCAGCTCCCAGTAGAGAGCCTGACATAGGTTAGGATGAGAATGTTCCAGAAGGCCTCGTGAGGGAACAGCATTCCTGTGAAGCACAAGGATGAGAATGATGTGCCTCACCCAGAACAGCTGGGGGTACACACACACACACACACACACACACACACACACACACACTTCTGCAGCACCTACTTTGTGTGGACAATACTATGCTAGATACTTTGGAGTATACAGTTAAACAAAACCACTTCGTTGTGTTTGGTTGGAAAGATAAGATGAGAATATAAACAAAGCACATGCTAGAGTTATTGAAGTTCAGGATCACTTTCAACTTAAGAATGTTAATATGGGCAGGGCAGTGGTGGTACACTCCTTTAATCTCAGCATGCAGGAGACAGAGGCAGGTGGATCTCTGTGAGTTCAAAGCCAGCCTGATCTGTAGAATGAGTTCCAGGACAGCTAAGGCTACAGTGAGAAACCCTGTCTCAGAAACAAAAAAACAAAACAAAACAAAACAAAAAAAACTCCCCCCCCACCAAAAAAAAAAAAAACAAAGCAAAAAGAATGTTGACATGGCCAGGGTGGTGGTGGTGGTGTGGCTGGCAGGGGGCAATGATGGGGTGGCGAGGGGTCGGGCAGGAATTGATGAAATTATAATATATAAAATTGTGTAACAGCCAATATTAAAATTTCAGAAAGCTTGGAGGTGTGTTTAAATTTTATCTTATGTGTTTAGCCAAGGGAAAGTGAAAGTATGTTAGAAAAAGGATAAGAAAGTAAAAATGCTAAGGTTATTATGTGAATATGAAATAAAATATACTCCGACTTTTTACTGGTTTCAAAGACAGACTAAGAATGCTTGAAGACATTATGTAGCAGTTCAGATTAAGTTCCCTGTTTTGTGACAGTGTAATACTAGAATGATTTAGACAGCTCTTATTTAATTTCAATAGTCAGCCCTTGAGTCTGTTACTTCTAGACCAGCCGTGATCTTATTGAGCCACGTGTTAAACAGGGATTGGCTGAAAACTGGATGAGGTCATCAATTAAGCATTATGTCCTAGGTGCTCAGAGGGTTTAAAAGGAGGTGCAGTGGCCCTGGCCCACAGGCTCTCCTGTAGTGTCTGCACATCTACATAGCAGGCTGTAGAGTAGGTGAGTAACTCTGATAACGGACTAACGGTCTAAGTGAAGATCAGAATCTGGCTAGACTACAAGCACTAATGTTAGAGGGCTGGGATATGAGAGGGAGAACATTGTTGCTGTTGGGGTGAAGGGTTAGGGTGGCAAGTTGGGATGAAGGTGGACTTTGAATGGAGGAAATAGCTTTACTGTTCAAAGGTTGACAGGGAATAGGGAACAAGTCTTGTTCAGAAGATAATCCTATTGGGCTTGGTGTGCAAGAGACATTTCATGTTGGCAAGGCAGTAGGGAATGAGTTAAGATTTTGTTTGAGTTCAATAGGGGTAAGGAATTGGGGTGCCATGGAGGACATCTGACTTAAGAGGGAGCTTTTATTTATAACGTTTCTCATGCCCAATGCCTGCCAAAGAAAATCATTTAAACCTAATCTTGAAGGTTACAGGAATTTGATAGGAAAGAGACTCAAATCTCTACTAAATGCAACACAAGTAGCAAAATATTTAAGGAAAATATTTTCTTGGCATCAAGTGTATTCTTTTTGCCCAAAAATGCAGAGAAAATAACAGATTGAACTAGAAAAGAAAAGGACTGGAGTCTCTGCCTTGCTGCTTGGAGATAGTGGTACTACGTAAGTGAGTGGACTGTTAGAGCAAAAGCAAAACCGAACCTTCCCCCTCTCCAAGAACAAGGTGGAACTGGAGGCAGCCGGCCCTTCAGGGACTCTGTGGAGCGTCTATTTGTGATTCTAAAGTCTGAGCAGCAATGATCTTGGCTCCATCTGAGACAAGAGAACTGCTTGTTTTTACATTAGTCATGTCTCCTTTCAGAGAGCGCCCTGTGTCTGCTGAAGGAAGCAGAGGTATGCGGGGCTTGGTCTTAGGCAAGTTAATCAGCCTCTTTGAACCTGGCCTTTCAACTGTAAACTGAGGAGAGTGGCAGTTGAGCTCATAATAGGGAGTTTGTGTGGTAGGTAAGAGGCAGCAGGTATCAAGGGCTTAGCAGCCGTGGTTGGTACGTGGTGCTCAGTACTGCAGCCATTAATACTTGAAGGAATACGTTTATCTTATGGCCTAGAGAAGCATATGTTAAGCTGCTTTAGATGGGATTGACTGTCATTTTGGTTTTGGGTCCAGACACTAGCCTAGGTGTTAACTAAACTGAACTTTAGGATTTGGTGGCACAGCAGGGAGACAGTGGGCGTAGCCAGGCAGGAGGCACTGGCACAAGGTGGTGTGGCCATAGGAGTATTTAATTTCCATGTCGGCTTTCGGTTTAGTTTGGCTTTGACTGTACTTCAAACAAAGCAGCGTTGTAAGTGGCAGAGGAAGGGAGAAGGAAAGTCAACACATTCTTGGAAATAAGATGTGCCTTTTAGATTGAGCTGGTTTGTTTTTGCTTTAGACACAAAAATATTACTTTGCTCTCAAGCTTACAATGAAAATCCCTCCTAGGCCACGGAACAAATCTAAACTTCAGAGGAAACTTTCTGTTTAGAATGACAAGGAGCTGGCAAAACTTCCTTTGATATTTGTTGTTTTTTAATACAGGACTCCTCAGAGGAGGTCAGTTAGCTTAAGAAGGAAAGAGCCGGTTTCCCTCAGCTGCCACAATGTAGCTATGGTAAATGTATTTTAAAAGCTGGATGTCTGGGACGTTTCCTGAGGACTTTACCTCAAAGTGTTTATGGGAGTATGTTCTCTCCCCTCCCTCCCCCCTCACACACACACTCCATTTTCCATGCATTTGTGTATTACACCTTTGCAATTTGGTGATAAAACTTAGCAGAAACCCTGCCAATTAAGTAACTCATTTTCCAAATGCTGCTTCCCCGGACTGCAGACGTCTGGTGGGATGTTACAGGAACTGGTCCTAGGTCAATATTTAAAGCACAGGAAAGCTCTGCATGGTCAAGTCAATGGAACTTTCTTGTTCTCTGTTTCTGTGGTGGCGTGTGTTCCAAGCAAAGTTTCTAGTAGAAAAATTTGGGCATCCACTTGTCTTCCGTGAATATATAAGCTGGCTGTTAAGTCTGTGTTGAATATAAGGTATATTGCATAGAGACCAATATTGATAGCACATACTTAATCATCTCCGCCCTCAAAGAGCTTGCATTTTAATTAAGAAGCCGGTCCTCAATATGCATTCTGTGATATAACAATATAGATCAATATGTTCATAATACATAACACCAAAGCAAGTACCTTCACCCATGATTTAGCAGGAGAAAATAGCATATTTCATTCTTACATTTTAAATGTCTGGATATCCAATTATAAAACTTTACTGCTATGTCTTACTGTATAGACAAAGGAATATATAAATTTGTATGATTGGTGTTTGTTTCAACTCAGATTTTCCAGAGATTACCATTTTTTCATGAAAGGGTATATTTTATTAAGGAAATAGGAATATACATCAATCAATATATTGCCACTGAGTCTTTGCATCCAAGAACAGCCCCCTCCTCCCCATTATTACTCTTCTCCGTTTCTTGAAAGAAAACACTAGAATGAATTAATGCATCAGTAAAAGGGGAGATCAGGGTGCCTATACCACTTTATTAATTCATTTGTATTTATGTGCATTTTATGTAAATGCTGTGAATTTGATTAGAATAAAATATCCCTACCCTGTCATTCCCATGAGAAGCAAAAATCGTATCTAAGTGGAGGGTGATCTGATTTTTGTTTTTATTCTTTTCTTTTAGGACACTAGGGACCTGGGAGGCCGGACCTTCCAGCACTGCGGGCGGTGATAGACACTTAGGATGAAGTAAAAAAAAAAGAAAAAGAAAAAAAAAACACAGGGGAGACGGGGAAGATTCCATGGGAGGAACAAAAAAATAAATGAAGCACGCTCCACTAGAACCTTTAGATACAGTTTTTAGTAACCTTCAGCAGGGGGCGCTCCGAAATTGTCGCGATCCGGACAGCCTCCTAGACTTGACCCTCTAGAAAATCGTGGTGTGTTTCCGGCTCTTCTCAGTTGCAGAGACTCGTAAGTTTTCGGCAGTTTCCGGGAAAACTCGGGAACTCCCGCGCCTGGCTGGCTCGAGAGATTGCCCGGTGCGGAGGAGCAGGGTGTCGGGCTAGTCATGGCGTCCCCATCTCGGAGGCTGCAGACTAAACCAGTCATTACTTGTTTAAAAAGCGTTCTCTTGATCTACACTTTCATCTTTTGGGTGAGACACGGGAACGACTGGGGAACCCTGGCTTAGGTGGTGGGTGTGACCCGGAGCAGAGAACCTCAGGTCTGGAATGGGATGAGGTTTGGGCGGCTGTGGTCAGGAGACCCTGGCGCTGGCGACGTGTGGCCTAGGCCATAGTGACGGGGTCTCCGAGATTGGAGCCGGGGCGTTGTAGCATTGGTGCTGGGGTCTTGGTGTGAGATGCCTGGTTGAAGTGGGACCCAGATGTCTTAGGAGATTGAGGTCAGAGCGAGAGATGAAGAACGGAGTTAGAGCACAGGAGGTGTCCCTGAACCTCGGAGAGGAGAGGCGAGGCTTCTCTCCTTCCCTTTGAGGGGTCTTTTGCATAATAATATCTCTCTTTTCATTGCTTCATAAGAGGGGAGTTTTCCACAGTAAGTATGGTGTGATTGTATCCCTGCCAGTCTATCCTTGGCTTTTCTTTTGTGTACCATCCCTTTGTATCCCCATCCCCGATTTGGGGATGGGGGATGCAAGAAGTTTCTGGAATCCAGAAACGCTTTTTACCCTCCCCCTTACAAGATGGCTTTCTTTCTCAGACTGGAGTAAATTGCTTAAGGAAATTTTGATCTCTAGATACAGTAAAACAGATGGATTTATGCAATTTTGAGTAGATGCCTTGTTCACACGCTTCCTTTATTTGCAGAACCCTTTCCTACCTCGTCAGTACCTGGCCCCCCCACCCCCTTATCCTAGCCACCGCACTGTGACTACCAGACTGCTAAATTAATTCTCACATGCATTGTGTCTTAGAAACTTCCTGAGTTTATGATAGAAGATACAAGCTTGTACAGTGCCTCATTGTTTCTTTCTCTGATTTCTCATGTAGATCACTGGTGTTATCCTTCTTGCCGTTGGCATATGGGGCAAGGTGAGCCTGGAAAATTATTTTTCCCTCTTAAATGAGAAGGCCACCAATGTCCCTTTTGTGCTCATTGGCACGGGCACTGTCATTATTCTCTTGGGCACCTTTGGTTGTTTTGCTACCTGTCGGGCCTCTGCATGGATGCTGAAACTGGTGAGTCCTTGGTTTCTTTAAACTAGTCTTGATTTCCCTAGAAAAGTCTGAGATGTTCTAGCCTTGTGTCTTCATTTCTCAGAGCTAACCATAGCTTTTACACTTTTCCCCATTCCTTATGGAAGAAACTAACAGGCTTCCATATTTAAGTAGACTGCATATTTTGATACTACTTTCCTTGTTCTTTGCAAAAAAAATTCTGTTGAACTGGTTGCTCAGAATTCCAGCCATCTCCCCCTTATAGCTGCGATGAGTCTTATTTATACTAACTTGAACTTTATTTTTTTTTTTTATTTTTTACCCCACAGTACGCGATGTTTCTGACCCTCATTTTTTTGGTCGAACTAGTTGCCGCCATTGTAGGATTTGTGTTCAGACATGAGGTAAGCCCGACTTAGACAATCATATTGCGTTCCAATTTATCCTCCTATCTCAGGTAGCCTAAGTAGCGCAATTCAACAGCTTTCATTAATTTTAAAACCCCACTTCAAGCTCTATTTCAAGCTATGCTTTCAATCTGCATCTGAAAACAGTGAATTTCTAGTAAAAACTCTGACATACTTTTAATGTAAGTGAACATTCAAAAATTTGTAGGATGATAATCACTAGAAGAAAATGATACGGCAATCACATTAATTTCTAGTTGTAATTTGATGAATAAACACCTATTAAAGTGGAGCTTTATAGCGTTACTAAGGGGAAAGTAAAATACAGCATTTATAACAAAATTAAGACCTTCTCATAAGTCACATTTTGAAAAGTTATAGTTAATGTAAATCATCAAAACATTAATAGTCATATATTAAAATCCAGGAAGCATAGCACTACTGAGAAGCTATTCATCAAGTAGGGAGGGTGTATTTGAGTGCCATTTGAACTGTTAGTGCAGTCTTCCAAATGAAGTTTGCAACTTGATTCGATAGGCGTCAGACTTTTACGTGGAGAAAGATAAATGTACATGCTCTCACAGCACCTTGAACTTGTAGGTATTATATTGTAATGTTTTGTTTAATCGCCCTTTCAGCCAAACTATATCCCTTAGGAGACCGGCTTGGATCATGGAAGTTCATTACCCCACATATCAAAGATAGAACCATTGGCCAGACCTAAGAATTTCTTATTTGATAGAGAAACGCAAAGTAGTTTCTAGAATCTTTGTTTATTGGCATTTCACTTTTCCAATACAGATCAAGAACAGCTTTAAAAGTAATTATGTAAACGCTCTGAAGGAGTACAACTCCACAAGGGATTATAGGAGCGAAGCCGTAGACAAGATCCAAAGTACGGTAAGTGGTTGGAGCTGGTGCCCTTTCAGGAGCCAAGCACATTCTTTATTGCCTCACAGGAAAGGATGGAGCTGGGCTTCTAGGTGTTTCCTGCTATGGAAAAGTAGTGTGGGACGATACTGCATAGCTGTGTGCTGGTCTACCTACGTATCCTTGTTCCCTTCCTCTCCACTTACATCACAGACAAATACTGTTAGTGCCAACTACAATAGTGCAGGAAAGCCAGTTGAAAACTTTCATGCTTATCATTGGAATCAAATGCCAGTCTCTAGGATATGAAGAAGAGCAATCGTCGAGTATATTAGTGTATTGTATATTGTTTTGGTCCCATAGTACAATAGAAGATGACGGAAGGTGAAATGTCTGGCTGCAAACCAGTAACGCGAACGACTACAAATGCTTTTAACAATTTTTTTCTCAGTTGCATTGTTGTGGTGTCACCGACTCTGGAGACTGGGAAGATACTAATTATTACTCAGAAACAGGATTTCCCAAGAGCTGCTGTAAGCTGGAAGGTTGTACTCCACAGAGAGACAAAGATAAAGTCAACAAAGAAGTAAGGACCCTCTTAGGACTTTTTATCTGATGGTATTTGAGGATTTAGTGGAATACCAAATGAACACAAGTGTTAACTCGCAGGAATAGACTTACTCTGAAGATTGTAGGGGAGCTGGTACTTCATTCCATACAACTAGAAAGTGAATGCCCAATGTTTAATCCAGAAGGTGGAACTAGTTGCAACTGGGGGCAGATGTACAGGCTAGATTTCAGTACAATGATAAAGGCTAGCAGCTGCCCAAGGCCATCTTCTGTGGACAGCTGAGTGATCAAAACAGTAATTGCCAGGAAGAACAGCATAGCTTTTCTTGTTTTGTACTCAATGCCTTTTCCTCTGCCATTAGGGTTGTTTCATAAAGGTCATGACAATTATAGAATCAGAAATGGGAGTCGTTGCTGGAATTTCTTTTGGAGTTGCTTGCTTTCAGGTAAGTTTTCTTTGCTCTTTGGGAAATGTCTTATTCTTGTAGTTGCAGGAGAAGGGATTTTTACTTTTTACTTTTGTTTTTGTGTTTTTTTTTTTTTTTTTTTTTTTAAGACAGAGTCTCACAATGTAGTCCTAGCTGGTCTGGAACTCAAAATGTAAACCAGGCTGTCCTCGAACTCAAGAAGATCTAGCTGCCTCTCCCTCTCAAGGGATGTAATGAAAGGCATGTGCCAGCACACCCAGCTCGGTTTCACTGTTAGGACAGGAAGGTTTTACTTCAGGGGACTGAACAGTGAGGGCAATGGAAGGGAAGTCTTATTTCTCACAAAGCAGTCAGTTATCCATCACAGGATAGCAATGCTCTGGCTTAACTTTTGGTGACGTCATGGGACTTACTTTGGGTGTATATTATTGATTTTGACTTGCAATTGAGTCTTTTAGTTTATTTTTTAAGTGGAGGGTTTTCTGACTCATGTTTTACACAAATACAAATAAATCTAAATTTTAATTCCCATTGTCATAGCCAATCATGCCTTGAATCTATAAATGTAAGACTTAGAATTTAATCCTACCAGTAAGTATACAACATACATATATGCGTGTGTGTGTGTGGGGGGGGGCTTAAACAAGAGTCTTAACCAATAGTATGCAAGCACTCTACCACTGAGCCATATCCCAGGTCCAGTACATATTATCTGAAAGCAGTTAACTGTGGGAAGACACAATATTCTCATAGTTGGTCAAAAGATGAATTGATAGGAATCTTGGTTTTACTCTGTGGTCAGTATTAGTCAGGGTTCTAAAACTTTATTATAAAGTCTTTTTTCCTGGGCTCCAACTGGCTGGCAGGTTGGAAATAGGTCCCACCAATCTCCATTTCATATGTGCCTGTTATCTAGTTATGTTCTAGACTGAATTTTTCCTGAGTTGTGCTGCTCACTGTAACATAAAAAGTTTGTGTGATTTGGAGTGAATTTTTAAAGCTTTTATTTGTTTTTTACCTTAAGCATTATAGAAGTAAGACTAACAGGATAGTTCCAATATATTTTTAAAGTCGCATTTCTTACTATCTCAATCTGCACCACTGGAGCAGCTACTAGCCACCTTCATTCTGAGGAGTAGATAAGATTAAAACCCCAGTTGTTCTGACTTTGTCAAACAGAAGTTCTGACTCTGCAGCCACAGAAGTCGAATGTCTGTTGTACTGAACAGCACGCACAAGCACATCCAAGAAATGACTTGTTCACATTGGTTGGGATTTTACTTGATGTGTATTATAAACATTACCCTCATTTTCTTTTCAGTAGCTGACCCATGACCCTTGAATTTCCCTTTAGTGTTTGTTGTGACGTTCTGGGTCATGGTTAGTAGTAAGGCATTTTAGATTCTTTGAATGTGACGTAGGCGCTGAAGAAGTAGCTAACTTCGTCATGTAGGGGAAACTCAAGGAAGAAAATCATTGATGAATTACAAATAAGATGAGGATACACTCATAGCCTGAGCACTTTAATTCCTTTATATGTGTGTGTTTTAAATTTTGTTCTTATTTTCTCTCCAGCTAATTGGAATCTTTCTCGCCTACTGCCTCTCTCGTGCCATAACAAATAATCAGTATGAAATAGTATAAGCAGTATACATGCGGGCTTATTCCTCTCCAACTTTAAGGTGTGTTCAGTTTGGTTCTTAACCCTGTTCATATTGATATTATGGTGGCTTGTGCGTAGGAATTATGAACTGTTTTCCAAGGTGTTTTCTAGTAGCTTGTTTAAGTCCTCTTGTTGCTGTGTAAGCACTGTATAGGCAGGTCATGTTTCTGTCTGCAAGGCTGGTCTGAAAGTATTAGTTAATCCGTGCTTGCTTTTTCAAGCATTTGTTCAATAAAAGAACTTGTTGGATTTAAGTGCTCACCTCCACATGTCAACCTAAAGATCCCAAGAGGTCTCCTTTCTCATGTATTTTGACCTAGAGTGTGGAGAAACAAAGAATATAACCATGAGCTTTAATTCACGAAGTGTTAGGGGAAATATGCCCTGCTCTTGACTAATGTTGGCATTGCCCCTAGATCGTAATTTTCATTTGCCATACAGTCTTAGCCAGTGCTTAAAGTGTTGCTTGGTAGAAAAATATTTCTGATAGACTAGATGTAGGTGAATTAAGTTCATCTGGCTTAAACCAGAAAGCAGATATGGGGGGCAGCTGTTACTGGTTGAATCTAGTGTGCCTGTCATATTTTAACTGGGAGCACATGGGGAAGTCGTCATTAGTGGGAATAGACCAGAATGTGGGGAAATGCAGGTGGTGAAATTTAGGTAATAACCAAATTAACCGTTTTTTCTTTAATTTTTGGATATTAAGGTTACCCTTGCGAGTTTTAATGTCGCCTGGATGGAGACTGACATCTTACTAGCCTGGAGAACTATACCAGGAGACTGATTCGATCAAGACATTTGTGTATTGTGTCTATGTCCACTTTCTGTCCTATTCTTACATGCCTGGATCTGAACACTGGAAGAGCTAGTAAATTGTAACTGAAATAATGCCCCATGTTTCCCTTGATTTTTATTTCTCAGTGTGGTGGCTGTAAAACGTGCTGTGAATTTGCCATTTTGATACAGTGTTGATGGCAATTTAACCCCTATGAATTTGCTGTTGATGTAGTATGATAGAAAATTGGCTTCCCTGGGTGGGCCTCTTGCTAGTCAAGAATCTGTGGCTTGATTGTATAATCTGCACCAAGAAGGAAAATGTTTCATTAGTCTCTGTTGATAGAGTCATATTGTCTAATTTCTTTCCAGGTCGTCATCGGTGGTGCCCATCATTAGTATTCCTGGGGGGGTGGTAAGCGTCTCAGGCTTTGAGTGCAAAGCACTAAGACTTAAGAGCCACTGCCCACATTCTGTGACACATCAGCTTTCAGCACACAGTGTATGTATTTTTGTCTCCAAACTAAGGCATTTATATGGATTATACTTCATTATTTGAAAGGTTATTATTACTTTAATGGTATCAGAACAGTTGTATTTCCTTTATGAATTTAATGGAACTTATCTTAATTAACTTTAGCTAGGTTTTCCTCACCAAGCTGAAATAATAGTTCACATCAACTGTCACCATCTTGGTTAATTTTAGTAGTGTTTGTTTTGGCTTGTATCCTTGATTAATAAATATAAACCTTTTACACAATAAACACTGCATTTCCTCTAAAAGAATTGTTCTAACTTTTATAAAATCTCCTGGAATGGTTGTTTTCCACTGAGAAAGTGAAGCCCCGCATTTCCACGTGTAGCCCCCCTTTTAGGTTAGGAATGAAAGGTAAGCCAAGGCCTTGAGTCTGTTATTAAAAAAGGAGTACTGTCTAAAAATAGTGTTTTCTCTGATGAAATCACATTCCAAGTCATTAAATAAAGTGTACTTAGCATTTTCTTAAGAGATCAGACTTTTTTGGTGGTATAGTTTACATTGGAAAGTTGCATAAGAAATCATGTAAGCTGTGTTATTAGAATAATGAAATTATTCTTCTGAGTTTTTGTTTGTGCATCCAGTAGTGAACGCTGCTTCATCTCAGAGTCCCCAGATTCATGGTGATGAGTCAGTTATTCTCAATAAAATGATCAAGAAACTATCCAGTTTATGATAAGGAAGGGGACCAGTTGGAGGGGAAGAGGGCACAAGAGAGGGTAATGAATGGGATATAATCTGAGTATATTATATACATGCATAAAAGTGTAACGAAAGGCTGGGGTCCAGGGCATTTGCCTAGCAGGCATGAGGCCCTAATTCTTTGTTCAAAAAAAAAAAAAAAAAAAAAGAAAGAAAAGGAAGAAAGAAAGAAAGAAAGGAAGGAAGAAAAAGAAAAACAAGACCAAAACAACCTATGGTGCTGGAGAGCTAGTTCGGTTAAACTGCTTGCCTTGGCTTCAAAACACAAAGACAAAGACCTGAGTTCTATCCTTGGGATCCACTTTAAAAGAGCCAGGTGTGGTGGTACACGCTTGTAATCCCAGTGCGGGGGAGGGGAAGACAGGAAGATCCTTGGGGCCTACTGACCCCCCAGCCTCACCTACTTGGTGAGTTCCATGCCAGTGGAACTCTGTCTCAAGAAACAAAAAAAGATGGCTGGCACCTGACACTTGAGGTGTTAACGTGCATACTCCACTATGAGCGTATGTACATAAACACAAAATTTCATAATGAAACTCATTTGGGGGCATTAGTAGATGCTAAAAACAACAAAAATGTGGTTAATGAACTTTCAGTAGTTGTGTTGAGATGCTTGAAGTGTAAAAAGGGTATTCTTGAATTTTGGATATGTGTGCTTTTGGACATAAGAATGCTAGGAATACAAAGGCAGGGTCACTCCCAATGCGATGTCCGATTTCAAGGCATAGGGGTTAATGACACTAAGTAAAAAAAGCATTGCAAGGGTCATCACAATAGTTTTTCAAAGACATTTTTATCTCCAAAAGTCTTTTAAGGTTTTGTTTTTGTAAAAAGGTTTTTTTTTCTTCTCACTAAAAACAGCTGTAGGTAATTAAAATATGGGAAGCAGAAAAAGAAAAAAAATACTACACCTCCCTATCCACTTCTGAGTGGCTTGGTTAGTTTTCAGCTGGGCTCATTTTGGATGGCACAGTACACGAGGCCACTCATAAAGCTGCCATATGCCTGTGCACATTGGGCTGTAAACCTGCGTTCTAGTGATGCAGGGCAAGATTAGACACTTGCCACTGGTGCCCCTTCTCGAGCTGACACCCGTAATAGTTCAGCGAATGAATTCTTTCTCTGACAATGGCCTGCATTTGAGTCTTCATAAAAAATTCTGTTGAAGCTTTGTTGTTGTACAAATCTGACAAACTTGTTGTTTTTTTTTCTCTATATCATACCCATATTTCAAACGACCATCTTTGGTGTGTTGAATGCATCCGGTGGGCCGCCTTCCTGTCAGGAATCAGATTCTGCACTGCACGGGGCTCTGAGCTCCAGTCGGAGACCAGCGCTCTCTAGGCATGTTTTCTGAAAATGGGGAATGCTTGGTAGTTTCCCATGGCCTAGTCCATGTGAGTGGTCAGTTTATGTTGTAGGCATCAAAGTTGTGGGCATGCATACCTAATACAAGGTATAAATGCCATTTCTGTTTCCCTCAGAGCACACATGAGATTCTTTGAGATTTTCTCTTTTTAGCTACCCCCCCTCCCCCATCAACATCTAAATTCGCACTTTGCCGGTGGCGTGGTCAAACACGTCTTTTAAGTTATGCTGATGGAAGGCAATATAAGCATTTGTGTGTGTAAAACTGATCTGGTTCCTTTAGACTATGTTGTGTGGGTTTCTGTGTAGGGTAAAATCTAGCACAAGATAAAAATACCGTTTCTGCCTTTCCCCATAGTATTCTGATTTTACTAATTTTTTTCCTTCAAATTGATGCCCCCAGTTCTAGATTGGCAAACCTAACCTTCCTAATTAAAAAAAAAAGGAAAGGAAAAAATATATACAAATTAAAAATAGCTACAGGGAAGTGAGACTTTCATTTTTTAAGACGCCGCTAGTTGAAAACATTGCCTAGATTACTTCTAAGAAGGTTCATTGTGATTTAATTATGGCTTTTCTATTAGGTACCTACCCCATGAAGCTTAGTGGAGTTAGGCGCTTATGAGAGCACCATAAATGCTAATGGAATAAATGAATGAATGAGTGACTCTAATTATAATGACTCTTTAATGTTCTGGGGAAAAACAAGAGGTTGATCTAAATACCTCGTTCTATATAAGCCAGTGTTTATATAACAGAAACCCTCTACCTACCTACCCAGAAACAGCTTAACCTCAGAAGCCACTGTGAACTTCCCCCGGTCAGGGTCAGATCACTTCTTACTTTTCTTCCTCCAGTCCTTTGCTGTATTTGATGCCACGGAAAGTCCCCCTCCCCCTTGTTTGATTTTGACTGCCTGAAATGCTGATCTTCTTTCCGGTCACTGATCTTTCCAGTTGACTGGAATTTCCTCTTTTCTGGTGTCCTTGCGAGGGTTTGCATTTGCTTCTCTGTTCTTCTCTTCTGCTTACGTTACCTCGAGGAACTCCACGTAGATGACAAACGGGGTTATCTCTTACGTGCTTCTGTTTTGTGTTTGTCCTCGAAACTCATTTGCATTCCCCTTGCCCTCTGACAGCTAGAAGCTTAGCACTCTGACTAGGCAAATGTTCCCTAACAGCCTTCTGTGACATCTGAAGCACAGTCAGTAACAGGTACACATTTGGTGCTCTCTGAAGTGTCTCTTTCACTAGGGTGATGAGAATTGTTCCTCGTTGGCTCTGCCACATACTTTTATTTGGTGATCACAAATTCTTTTTATTTTATTTTTAAAAGAAAACCAACTATCTTTTTTCATTATACATACCAATCCCAGTTCCCACTCCTTCCCCTCCTCCAATTTCCTCCACCTTCCCCTCCACTCCTACTGCTGATCCACTCCTTAGAGAGGGTAAAGCACATTGCTTTGTGGAAAGTCCAAGGCCCTCCCTACTATATCTAGGCTGAACAAGGTATCCATCCAAAGAGAATGGGTTCCCCAAAAGCCCTTAGAGATAAAACCTGGTGCTACTGCCAGTGGCCCCAAAGTCTGCTCCAGCCGTACAACTGTCACTCACATTCAGAAGGACTAGTTTGGTCCTATCCTGGTTCCTTCCCTGTCAGCCTAGAGTTGGTGAGCTCCTATTAGCTCAAGTAAACTGTTTCAGTGGGTAAACCCATCATGGACCTTGACCTCTTTGCTCATGTTCTCACTCCTCCCACTCTTTAACTGGACTTTGGGAGTTCAGCCCAGGTGATCACAATTTGTTTAGGTAGGATTGCCATCCCTGATCTGGTGAGACTATCATCACCATATCTTCAAAAGGTTTTGCTTAAGAACATTGAAATGGTTGTAACATGGAGGGCCTGGCTTGTTGTTTGTTGGGGTTTTTGTCCTGCCTGGTACCCCACAACTGTTTAGCCCCAGAGAAAAATTACACATAGGTCTCCATAAATTATAAGCTGATTGGCCCATTAGCTCTAGCCTCTCACTGGCTAACTCTCACATCTTGATTAACCCATTTTTTCTGACCTATGTTAGCCATGTGGCTCAGTACCTTTTTCAGTAGAGCAGATCACATCCTGCTGCTTAGGTGGTCTGGGCAGGAGTGCAAGCAATCAACTTCCTCCTTCCCAGAATTCTCTTGTTCTAATTACATCATTTCTACTTCCTGTCTGGTCATCCCGCCTATATTTTCTGCCTGGCCAATCAGCATTTATATAAAACATGATTGACAGAATACAGACAATTCTCCCACACCACTTCTCCCTTTAAAAAAAAAAAGGAAAACACCCATTGTGTCCATAGTTCCATAGTCTAGACCGCCTGCTTGAAAGAGTCAGTTTTCCCTGGCAGGATGGCCTAGAAAGCTGACATTTTAAAACAGCAGCTTTTTTCCTGCTACAGCTGAAAACCAAAATTTTTTACTCTAGTCTTTCCCAAGCTTTCTCAGGCTTTCTATGGATTCAGTT